CGCTGAGAGGTCAAGGAGAACCAGGATGGAGGAAAATCCTCCATCTCTGGCTCTCCAGAGATCATCGGTCAATGCGACCGATGCAAAATGTAGGTTCTTTCAGGTACTTCCACCCCATCCCCACCCCACCCCAAATAAGCCAGTCTTATGTACATTAAATATTAGGTCGGACAAATAATCTTTCTCCTTAATATTTTTTTCAACATTTCAGGAAAATTACATGGAACATTTATATCGGCACTCACTGCTTCACCTTGCACTTTAACATTATGTAAATTTGCCCTCACTTTAAAACAATTGAACCAACTCCTACTTACAATGAATTCTTCATTACAATCATCTTTTAAATAATTGAAAAGGCATCCAGCATAAATAAGGCTAACAGATATATTACTCTGATTTGATCATCTAACCAAATTATCAATAGCTTTTTCATTCCAGTAATTAAATCACTTGTTGCTTATTAATAATTGCAGCTTTCAACAAAGCACGGTGTTTCTGATGTTCCATTATTCTTACTTTGCTCTTTAGAATTGTTCCAATCATTGACCGAGAGTAGCCTAATACTTTTCCAATAACTGATCATGTTTCACCTTTTTCTGATAGCTTTATTTCCACTTTATTTTCAGTCATGATCGTTTTCCTTTTGTTTGATATACCCCAGCACTTGTGTTGGATTTACGAGTCAGAGGCATGGCTATCAGGATAGATAAGAGAAAAATATAAGCCAAGTACTAAGTTACACATTCAACACAAGATTAACAGCAGTGTGATCAATTTAAAATGCTGGTTGGTGTTCTCCTTTCTCCAGCCTACAATCCCCTGAAGCTCCATAATGTTTTTATAAAGTAGTGTGCACATTTGTTACTACAAACTATTATACTTAACTCCAGTTTCTAGTATAATAGGTTTTATGGCAATCCATTCATAAGTACTAGTTGCCTGTAAGTTGGACCTTCTTAACCTGGGAAACAAAACAAAAATGTAAACAAAAACTTGGGTTTCATAACTTCATGATTTCAGTAAAAATTCTCTTCAGGAAACATGTTTGGTTTTGATATATTATTTGTGAGCGGTAAAAGTAGAGCGGTGTGGAGGCCTAAAGGTGAAGACACTCACCTCCCATTCAGTAGATTGAGAGTTCGATCCTAGGTAGCAGCAAATGTTTCTCTACCAAGGTGCAAAGACAAAATATCTGCTGTGAATTCCACACAGGTGTAAGGAAGAGCATCTGGCCAGTAAATGCTCAGCTCCATTCAGTTGCCCCAAGTCCACCCCAATAAAAAGATATTACAGGATCCTGAAAATAACGAAAATTGTGTGGGGTTAGAAGTAATGCAAAGGATCAGATAAAATACCACTGAAGAAGATCAGTAGCTGATGCAGCCTCTGCCCACTACATTCAATAGTGTCTTTTCATTGGTTAGCAAAGCTAATTTTGGTTCAGTATTGCAACACACAGCTTCTTCTATGATTGTCATGATTGGCATTTGTAGACCAAATGGTTGCATATCAGTAATGCTACTTTCTCTGCCTGTATGAGGCATTGCCTCTATAATAAAGTATCTTTTTGATGGAGAACATTCTCAGAATATACCCGTTGATTTGCTTTGCACATACCTAAAATCTGAATTTAGGAAGCTGAAGACCAAACAACTTTTCATTCGATCAAAGCATTTTTCCAGAAAGCCTGGGCTTGGCATGAAGGGGCAGTGAAATGGCCATCCTGAGGGCCAAAAAGTAACATATTATACAGCTGGGCCCAGAGCTGATATGGAGGAAAGTAAAAGGTAAGCATTTGATTAGGAGGGATTAGTGCTGCTGCCTTCCCTCAGGTAGTGAGATTAGCCTTCTGGAAAGCTTATTGGGACAAATCTGGTAGAAATGTTTATAAAAAATATTGATTTGGTCTAGTAGCAAGGCCCCAGGCCAGAAACCAGGAGCCTGTGAGTTCAAGTCCTGCCTTAGCCATGAAAGCCAGATGGATGACTTTGAGCCAGTCACTGTCTCTCAACCCAACCCAGCTAACCTCACAGGATTGTTGTGGGGAAAATAGGAGGAGGAAGATGTGTTGCTTTGAGTTATTTGTAAAAATAATAAAGGCAGAGTACAAATAAAAAGAAAAAGTAAAGGAGAGAAAATTTAAGTAAAGGTAAAGGTTCCCCTCACACATACATGCTAGTTGTTCCCGACTCTAAGAGGCGGTGCTCATCTCCGCTTCGAAGACCCGGCGCTGTCCGAAGATATCTCTGTGGTCATATGGCCGGCATGACTAAACGCCGAGGGGGCACGGAATGCTGTTACCTTCCCACCAAAGGTGGTTCCTATTTTTCTATTTGCATTTTTACATGCTTTCGAACTGCTACTTTGGCAGAAGCTGGGACAAGTAATGGGAGCTCATTCTGTTACACGATGCTAGGGATTCAAACCGCCGAACTGCCAACCTTTTTAACCAACAAGCTCAGTGTCTGAGCCACCATGTCTCCAAAAATTTAAGTAGAGTGTGATATATTTCCAATCAACCTCAATTCTCTCAAATCCAAGCATAGATTTTGCAATGCTCACTAAGCAAATTGAATGCCATCTAACTTAACGTTTGTTTAAATAAAACTCTGTTTTACAGAATTTTTGAACTTTGCCTGTTTTAGCATACCGCATCCATTAACACAGCAAGGAAATATTGTTCATTCTCTGCGGGAAGAGATGATCACTATTAATATTGGTTCTTTTGACATCTGTTAACATTGATGGCAATGTTAAGTATACAATAAGAAAAAGAGTTAATATATGAAGTTATTCTGCCCAAAACAGATTAAAGATTAAATTCAGTTGCAAATTTGATAATTTTTCCATTATTTTTGTTTAACCAAGTTTGCTTGCTGCATACCTTTTTTGTCTAAGGATTGTTAATTATTATTTTTCTTCTAGCATCAGAAGCATTTGTTGAATTTATTTTAAGGATTGTGTGTGGCATGTAAACAATACATTGGCATTTATCAGAGGACTTGGAAATCTTCATCCACTAACATCGACTAACATTGTTTTGCAATAGCAGGTGGTCTGTATTATAGAAATTGTACAATTTAAATATGGAGTTGATAGCTTGATTTAGCTGTAAATATATAATTCCAACAATGTGGTCCTGTTTTTTAAAAAAACTGACTGGGATTCATACATCTGCTGTGATGCAGCTGGACCACACTCAGTTAATTTCTCTATTTCTCCCCTGAGAGTGGGTGGGAGGCTTTTGGTATGATTCCATCTGTAAATGAACTTTGGAGTTGATTGTTCTCAACTTCACTTACAGCTGAAAGAATGTGTTGTTGTCAAGGGTCCTGAAATTCAGTCACCTCAGAGACTGCTCCTTTCTCAAAGGAAGCCTCTTCCTCATCTCTGGACTTCACCTCCCTTCTCAGAAGTTTCATCCCATAGTAGGATTGACCTGGTTGAACCAAGTGTAGGAGTTTTGCCACGATGCCAGAGGATGGGCTGAGAGCAGGACTAATGATTAGTATGCAGGATAGCTTGCCAACAAAGCCGGTTAATATTTCTGTTTCAGTACTTAAGAAATGACATGATTTGTTATGGTATCATCTGTGGTAGGTAAAATGCTCTGCTTTGCTACTTTAGAATCTTTTTCAAAAATCTCTCCCACCATTTGAGATGTAGTTACTGTGTTTTTCTAGTGTGATGTCAAACATGCTGTTCTGTACCACTTGTGATATGATGCTCTTATTTAAAAGTCATCTTTGCAAGCTAATTATATTGCCAGCTTTTCCCAGGGGTGTTGTCTTATCGTTTTAAGCCCATGACTTTCAGACTTCCATCTTGAAAGACTATTGTTATCTGATTTCCAAGAAATGTTCTGAGTATCTGCCGCAGAACCTCTATTCATTTCAAACACTTTTGGGATATACATATGCTGTGGTGCTCTCTGAGCTCGTTTGCTTGTTTACCGGAATTTCATTACCTGACTAGGTAACCTCAGCAGTATTAGTGAGTGTGGGATTTGCTCACTGTTTATACATATAGTCCTCGACTTACTGACGGTTGCTTGGAATAGTTTATAATGACAACGGACCTCCCCAGAGCTACTTAAAACCTTTGAGGTTCTTGTGGCTAACAACCCCCCCCCCGTGGTCACATGATTGCATTTTGGATACTTGGTGTATTTAAGGCTGTTTTCAGCATCTTGCAGTCATATATAAGTATAAGTATAATCTTTATTGTCATTGTACTTAAATACAACNCAATTCCCACAGGAATCCACCACTCTGTATCTAAAGCTAGAGAAAGATGGTTCTGGTTAGATAGATGCTGAGTTCCCTGAAGTGGAGCTCTTGCACGGACCCCCAGGCAGTGTCCACACCCAAAGGAAAACCCTCTGCTCCAAGGCTGAAGAAGACAAAGTGAAAGGCCTCAAAGGGCAGAAGGAAAAGGCACAACCAAGGCAGCGGTTAGATAACATGGCTTCAATTAGACTGATGTTGAGTTCTCTGAAGTGGAGATACTAAACAATGGAAGTATTAGAGTTTGCAGAAATCCAACCAGCACATGTGTAAATAATTCACCAGGATTCATTTATATAAGAAACTTCTTTATATACAATACCGTATTTTTCGAGTATAAGATGCACCGGAGTATAAGACGTGCCAAGATTTTGAAGAGGCAAATTTTAAAAAAAGGTTTTTGCACTCCGCAGACCTCCCAAAAATGGGTCCATTTTTGTCAAAAACAAAAAAAAAGAGAGAGAGGCATGCTCTTTAGGAGGCTTGTAGAGTGCTCCTGGGGCCTCGGGGTCAAAAAGGAGCAAAAATGGCCTGTTTTTCGTGAACACAGGCCCATTTTTTATCAAAAAGGGCATGCATAGCCTTTAGGAAGCTTATAGAGTGATTCTGAGGACTGGGGGGGGGGGGCAAAAACAAGCAAAAACCGCCCCGTTTCTATCTCATTTTAGCCCTCTCTAGCCCCCAGGAGCAATCTGGAAACCTCCTAAAAGCTATGCATGGACATTTTGGTGAATGAGGCAGGGTTTCACGAAGCCAAAAATGCTGTATTCAGTATATAAGATGCACCCAGATTATCACCCTCTTTTTTGAGGGAAAGAGATGTGTCTTATACCCTGAAAAATACAGTATATACAGACCAGTTAGGCTAAGCCACACCTAGGCTCCAAGCCATCTGAGTTACCAAATTGGCTGACCTGTTAGGGTTAGGGTTATTTCCAACTACTCTGGCAGAAATCACTTCTCTCCCATTATTAAATGCAAGACTCTCCATCTGAAAACATGAGATGTTGCAGAAGAAAACAAGCCCCCACCACATATTTTCAAACATTTGTGTAAAATCTACTTCTGCATGTCAGACCCTCTCAGTCTCTCACCTGGTTCCTCCTCCCATACCAAGACCAGGGGCTCGTCCAAGCCCTCGTGCTTCAGGTGACACCGAAAGCGGTTCCTCTCCTTGGGCTTGATCTCAATGCTGAGCTGGACATAAAAGGTTCCATCTGAATTGGGGGCCACATTCCTACGGAGGGTCTTGTACTGGGGGACCTCTCCTTCCCTGGTCCAGGTGGCCTGGATCTCCTTGGGGTAGAAGCCAAAGGCCTGGCAGATGAGGACCTTCGGGCTGTCATTCACCACCTTGCGAGTCACCTTCACCACTGGAGGCTCTGTAGGAGAAGCAGCAATATCTGAGATTCCTGGGATTTGTAGAGTTTCTGTCAAGATTATTTAATAACAGGGAAGACCTCCTTTGGCCCTCCTCTCCCTCTGCTCTGTCTCCTCTCCTGAACCTCTGGGACCAGGAAATCTTTAGATTCATTTTTGAAAGGGACACATAGACTTTGGGGTAAAGCTCTTACTCTGAGCAAAGTAATTGTAATATTTGGGTTTTGATTCAGTTTTGAGGTCCTAAACTCAATTTGTTCAAGTTGTCCCAGGTAGAAATTGGGAAGAGAATCAACTTTTGGTTCTGCCAGAAATGCAGGAAGTAAAAATGGATTGGATCTCATCCTTACTCATCCTTTCG